CTATACCACACTGTTTGGATTTACTGTAGATTTGTAGTAAGTTTTGAATTAGGAAATGTGAGTCCTCCAACTTTGTTCTTCTTTTTCAAGATTGTTGTGGCTATTTGGGGTCCTCTGCAATTCCATATGAATTTGAGGATCAGTTTTCCCATTTCCGCACACACACAAAAGAAAAAGGGATTGGAATTTTTTTAGGGATTGTGTCGAAATGTAGATTGCTTCAATCTTACCATCTTAACAATATTAAGTCTTCCAATCCATGAACACAGAATGTCTTCCCATTTATCTAGGTTTCCTTTCATTTATTTCAGCAATGTTTTACAGTTTTCAGTGTACAAGTTGTTCAACTTCTTAGTTAAATAATAAAGTCTATTGAAAAAAATAAAAGAAACTATCTGCTATCCTTGCTTTTGAAGATTCAAAGTACAGATTGGGTATATCTGATTGAGTCCAAGTTACATGCTGTGCTCTGGTTACAATGGAGACAAAGTGAATTTCTGATGTTTTCAACTTCTGTGGAGGGGGAAAGGCTTTAACTATCACCAAGACTCACATAAGACTAAATATAGAATGGCGATTCAGATGATTGAAGGCAAGAATTGATAAATGTCCATTACATATGGCTTATGAAACCCAATCCCTCCACCGATGTCTTAACTAACTACAAATTCCAAATTGACCAGTGAAACTCACAATCTACACAACATAAAATTCTGAGGATGTGTAGAACACAAAATGTTCAGGTAAAGAGATATAATAGCTTAACAAAGAGAGTACTTCTGTTGTGTATTAATGCAGTCTGCAAGCTTTGTAATGGTAAATTCTCATCTGTTTGTGTTTACTAATATATTCCCAATGCCTTGTATAGTATCTCCCACATATTAGGTTCTCAATAAAAATTTGCTGAATGAATAAAAAAGTGGTCTAAGAAAACTGTTGGCTTAAGTCAGGTCAAGTTTTGGTATACAGAGGTATAGTTTTCTAAATAACTATAGGTTCTAATCCAGAGGCACTTGACAAGTGAAAAGAATTTCATGATGAGAGAAGGGAACAGAATTTTTAGCAAATAATTCTATGCCTGTGGAGGATCTAGTTCCAGATGAATTAGGGTTCCTTCACCTTTATGAGTCACATATTAAGAGAAAGCTTATATAGTTGTACCATTAAAAAATAGCTAGACTACTGATAGGGTTGCTATGAGTCAGAATTGATTCGATGGCAACAGGCACTAGTGAGGTTTCACAAACTGAAAATGACCCTTATTCAGTGGACCTTTGAGGACCCTGGTCAGAAATCTTCATACCTATGAGAGGTATGAGCGAAAGACTGGTCATCCTCCCTCTGCTCTGAGCCTTTTCCATTTTCCTGTCTCCTTGACTGGCTGCATACCATGCCTGAGCCTGGTTATTAGCACCACTTGCAAGTAAAAAAAATGTTATTCTATCTGGTTAAATATACCTTTTATAAATCTTGGGAAATACATTTCATAATTCTGTCGTATCTTACTAATGGTTGTCTAAGTCTTGAAGCATTGAGTGGGTGAATGTGGGATAAGAAGTAATCTGTGCTTGAATCCTAGCTCTGCCCTCTTTTAGTTTCAATAAATTTGGGGATGATAATCTGTATCTCATAGTATTGTGGTGATGATTAAATGACATCTATAATTTGTTTATAAAAGTAACAATTACAACGTACGATGGCAAAGAAAAAAAAAATCCTAGTTCCCATCTTGTTTTACCTTAGTGAACTCATGACCTATATTTAAAGTTCCTTGAGGAGGCTTTCTCTGACTTACCTGTTGAGTTCTTCCCCTGTGCTCTTACAGAACTGTGTACATGCCTCTATAGAAGCAGCAACAATATGTCCAGGTAACTGATAACCACCATCCTTTGTGACACTTCTGTGTCTCCACACCTACCAAATATCTTTCCTCCTATGTCTGAGATCCATCTTCCCCGACCCAACCAATGAAGCCAGCGTTCCTGAAGGCTCAATCCTGGCCCCTCTCCTTTTACTCTATATTCTCTTTTTCTTCCCTCCCCGCCCCGCATCCCTGCAATTTCATCCCTACTCATAGCATCAATTACTATCTTTCCAGAATTGACACAAATTATACATTTCTAGTCCTAGGCACCTCTAAGTTCCAACTCCTCTTGGGCGTTACAAAGCCACCTCATACTTAACGTGCCAAAACTATACTTGGGATCTTCTGCAAGACACTTTACAAGATGCACAAATAAACGAATCAATTAATCAATCAGTGAAAGTCATGTAGTATATCGCTATCTTGTCGGAATCGACTCAACGGGAAAGGGTTTGGTTTGGTTTATCAAAAATAGGTCACTGTTTTTGGTTCCAGGCAAATGGGTAAGAAAGATTTTGTCCAGTTTTCCCTGATAGAATGGGGCAAGCAACTGAAGTTTGATACGTACCTCTCCTAACCCACCAGAAGCGAAGAATGATTCCATTCTTAGCTGCAGGGTTAGGTGCTTGCTGTCTGCGGAGTAGAGATGGCCGGAAAAAAGAGGCGGAATCGGTCGCAAGGAGAACAGGGAAAGGCCCCTGGAACGCTTTACAGACTCAGACCGCTGGGGCTTCCGGGTACTGCCTCTACTGCTGATGCGCGTGCGCTAAGGCAGGTCCGGGGCGAGGCTTGGGATGGCGGCTTTTCTAAAATTCCTAGCCAGCAGCGAAATTTAAGGGCCTTAATTCTAGCGTGATTGCCACGCCAGCTCTCTGCACCCTCCAGGACGGCGACTTTTGCGGCTTCTCTCGGAGCTGGCACCTGACTGTGATTGAATGAAGCCCTGGCTGGGAGCCGAGCTGGCAGGTATTACCTGGGGCAGTGGGCTGTGAGGACGAGGGTGCGTGGGACTGGGAATCACCCTTGAGGGCATCTAAGCCGAGGTGAAGTTCTTAGCTTTTGCGATGTATATGTATTCTCAGTTTAACTGAATTCCAACACCCCCCTCCCAGTCTTTGCCCGAGAACCTGGAGGATGGCGCGAGCCGATGGAGAGGAAGGAAGCATGGGCTGCGGGGGGAGAATTTGAGGCATGGAAGGAATTTAGAAGTGGGTGAGAGCAGAGAAAAGGAGGATTAGAAGTGGGAAACAGGACGATTGATTTCTAAGTCTAGTTCTGCTGAGCCAGTAATTTAACTTCACTGCTGTCCCCTTTTCCACTTTATAATGGAGGCAATCTCCAGACGCTTTACTTGGGAAGTATATCTTGATCAACTGGTTTTGAAAAGGTTGATACCGGTGCCTCGTGGAAATACCAAGTGTGTGAGACTGGATCAATCAACTGGAAAGTAAAATGGAGGAAAGTTAATTTCAACTTACCTTGCATTCCCAATCGTTGCTGGCCACCACTTAAAATATAAAAAACCTCCAGCCATCTTTCTGGTTTCAGGCATTATTTGCAAACCGCCTTCTCCTCTTTATCTGAGCAAACCTCCCAAGGCTCTCCTACCTCAAGCTACCGCCCTACCTGTGACCTATTGGATTAAAAACAACCCTCTTCACGGGAAGTTACAATCGATCCCCCCACCCCCATAATTAGCACCTGTTCGAATTCCTTGAGCTGTAGAATCCTTTAAACCGTGTCCGTGGTTATAGTCATCTAACCCTCCAGTCTTACCACCTGTTATGTTCCTGATCCTTTACAATGGCACTGGCTGAGTCCCATCATCAATTTCAAGATGTCTAAAAGCGATAAACACAAACCCTGCCCATAGAGGAAAAGGGGAATTTAGTAGAAAACTATAACTAGAACCCTCTGAGAAATTTGAAATGATATTGCAACAAACACACAAGCACATAGCAATGGGAAAAGAACCCAGAAAAGAACAAGAAAGAGGTCTGAAATTTCAAATGTGACTGGTGGAAATTAAAAAAGAAAATCTAGACGGTCAAGTGACGGAAACCTCCCATAGCTAAAAGAGGGAGAAAGGTTAAAATTTTTCAAAGAATTACCTCTGTGAAGTAAATATGGACACAGAAAGAGGGGCAGGGTGGGAGACTGTTGATTTTCATCATAAAAGTTCTTATGTCCTATTTGATTTTTTTTCTTTTGCTATATGCATGTATCATTTTGATTTGAAAACAAGAAATTCCATGGCTTTAATTTGTTTTTCGTCGTAACATTTTGTTTTCCTTTTACCTCCATGTTTGGGAGAGGCATTTAGGTTTGCCCATCACATCACTTGGTTCAGTGAAGTGTCCCTGTGCTTCTTACTGCTTCAGATGAAGATTTTAAGTCAGCTAATCCATTTTGAGTTTCCTTGCATTCATTTCTTAATTTAGCTAACTCTTCATATTTACCTTTGTCTCACCCTGTTTTATCAAATGACTCCTCATCTGTTTCATAAGGCTATGATGCATCCTTTTTAATTTAAGGACACCAGACAAGTGTCTTTTAATTTTTTAATAAAGTTTTTTATTTTAGGACAGTTTTAAGAGCCACTGCTGCTAACCAAAAGGTCGGCAATTCAAATCCACCAGCCACTCCTTGGATACCCTGTGGGGCAGTTCTACTCTGTCCTATAGGATTGCTATGAGTTAGAATTGACTCGACAGCAATGGGTTTGGGTTTAGCCTAAAGTCTTAATAACCTGAATATCCTGCCTGATAATTTGTTTTGCTTAGTTTTAAAGCAAAAAGGAGTTGTTACCTAGTACCAAAAAAATATCTAATTGCAATTAAATTATGAGGTTTTTTTAAAAAGCAAAGGTGTATTTCTTTTATCACTTTTTGGGAGATGTTGATTTCTGTCTTTCTCTCTTTCTCTGTCTCTCTCTTTGGCAGGAGGTTGAAGGAAAGGGAAAGCATAGTTTCCTGTTCTAAAGAAGGAAAACAAGAATGCAAGGCGAGTCCACAATATTTATTTCTTCTTAGGTAATTTAAGAATATTATTTATACTGTTTTATCTCAGCTCCACACTAATGCATGTTCTTTATGCATCATATTTGTATCTTTCTACAATCTTTCAGGTACCTGAATATTGACTTTGTATATGAAGCTTCTGGAACTTTTCCGCTTACTGAGATATAACTTGGCTCAAATCGTACTGCATATAGTATATAGCACACAGGTGCCTGACCGAAGCTTGAGAATTACTGGAGTCCTCTGGAAAGACAAATTTGAACTACAGTGGGAGTTCTATCTAGGAAGATGCAGACTCTGAAAGAGTTGATGGCCATCTCAAATCCTCAAAACCTAGCTGTATGTGAACAAAGTGAGGTCCTGAGAGCAGATGTGTCTTGGCAGAAGGAAGCCATCCAAATAATGGAGATGTATGACTCTGAGGCCTCTCGCCAAAAGTTCAGACAGTTCCAGTATCTAGAAGTGGCTGGGCCTCATGAATCCCTAAGCCAGCTCTGGAAGCTCTGCGTTCAGTGGCTGAGACCAGAGATTCATACAAAGAATCAGATCCTAGAGTTGTTGGTGCTGGAACAATTCCTTACAATCCTTCCTGAAGAGGTCAGGACTTGGGTGAAATTACAACATCCGAAGAGCAGTAAAGAGGTGGTGACTCTCTTGGAGGATGTGATTGAAATGCTTAAAGATGAAGGTAAGAATATAGAAAATAGGGGTTAGAATAGTTGGCTCTTCCATATGAAGAGAAGTTATCTTTTTCTGAAGCTAGAGAGTGTCAAGAGCCAGATTATGAAGACTTTGTATTATCATATTAAGAAGAATGGACTTTATTTTACAGGCAGCGTAAATAGAGAGATCTCACAGGAGGAAAAAATGATCTGGTTTGCTTTTAAAAATATGTTGGCATAAGTAAAGAGCAGGGGTCAGCAAATCATGGCCCATGTAACAAATTTTTTTGTAAATTAAGTTTTATTGGACCATAGCCATGCCCATTCATTTACATTCTGTCATGGATGCTTTCATGCTACAACCAGAGTTGAGTAGTTGTAACAGAGACTGTATGGCCCACAAAGCCTAAAGTATTTACTACCTGGCCCTTTGCAGAAAAAGTTTGCTGACTTCTGGTGTAGAGGATGAATCAAGGGTTCTGAAACTAGGAAAACCTGTTAGGAGACTGTTGTAACAGATCAGGTGATAGATAATGAGGGAGCATTAGGAGAACAGAGGAGTTGGAATCTTCAGGAATTATTGACTAGATATGAGATGTGAGTGGGATGAGCTCTGATGTAAACTCACATGTTCCTGCTTGCATAAATGGAGAGTAAGTAGCAGAGTTTGTGGGGGGAAATAATACAATAATTATATGGCATGTTCATATTAATAACCACGTTAAAACCATCACTTTAATTATTAAAAGTTGCTTTAGGGCAAAATTTGTCTCCCTAATATTTACCTTCATTTTCCTCAGATTTACCCTGGAAGGATTCTGTCCTCCAAAAGGAGAGCATCAAGGAGGAAGAAATGGAAGCTGACTCACTAACAGGCAAATCCCAGGTGAATTAGGATTCCACTTTTTACTGAAAATGTGTGCTCTTCTCTAATGTGGCCTGCTTTTACTTTTTTAGTCCTGGAACTTATGCTAAACATAGTTCCATCCGAGGACATGAAACTGTTTTCTGCATCAGGACATTGGTATACAAGATGATGCTAGAGATTTATAGCACTCTTTAGAAAACATTTTCTCTTTATCTTGTATATTCCCTGGGCATCTGATCCCTTAAGAATATAGAAAGTAATTGAAGCTATAGAAATAGAGCCCACTCAGTGAACGTTTAGAATTAAAAGTGAAGGAGACCAAAGGCAAAATCCTGAGCAATGTCATTTAATGGGCAAGAATAGGAGAAACTTTGAAGGATACTGAAAAGAAAGGACCAGTGAGGTAGAGGAAAACCAGGAAAATACAGTGTCACTGAGACCAAAGGATAGGAAGAGTCAAGGAGAAATGCTTTAAAGGGTCAGGAAGATATAGCTTGGGTAGTGTCTATTCATTTATCATCATGGAGATGTTAATAAGCATACCATGAGGATAGAAGCCTGGCTGCAGTGGGTTGAGGAGAGAGAAGATACAGAAGCAGACGAAACTAATGTATACAAATTATTCACAAAGACTGGCTCTGAAGGAGAGAAAGGGAAGAGATTTGTATATTTCGTTATAATGGCAGGAGTCGATAAAGACAAGGTTGTGGATGCTGGAGAAAGAAGTGGAACAAGTGGGAATTTATTCATTAACAAGTATTTATGCAGTACCTAGTATGTCAGGCACTTTTCAAAGGGCTGGAAATATCATGGTAAACAAGATAAAATTCCTTCCTTTGTGGATATTACATTCTAGTAGAGGTAGACAGACAAGCACAAGCAAATAAAATAATTTCAGATAGGAATAAATTACTACAAAGAATTAAAGATAATGTGGTAGAGACTGATTAGGAAGGGGGCTACTTCGTTTGGATGATCAGGGAAGGCCTCTCTGACAAGGTGACGCTGGCCTGTGAAACCCGAATAAAAAGATGCTAATAGGCTGCAGTTCTCAATTAGAGAAAATGCCCTACCTCTTCTCCTAGCAGAGCCTGTATCTTCATTACAAAGTTTCCTCAAATCTACCTTAAATTCTTCCTATTCCAAACTCCTTTTATGTAAGTTCTTTGTATTCTAGTTTAATCTTTTGTTCCACAATTATTTCAGCTGTCTTTTTCTCCTCAACCAAAGTATAAGCTAATTTAGATAAAGGACTACACTTCCTTTTGCTTTTGTAGCTCTCAGAGTATAATAGCACCAAGATGATTGGTTCCTATTACAACATGATTTTCATCACATGGAACCCTAAACATTGTCAACAATTTCTGATATATTCTGGTCACCTACCCTGTTCTTCCTAAATACATTCTTCCTCCTGTAATATTTTTGGGAGTGATCTTTGATTAAAAAGGAATGTAATGTTTAGGAACCAGTGACATTCAAAGATGTGGTTGTGGAATTCAGCGAGGAAGAGTGGGGACAGCTGGACCCTGCTGTAAAGAGCCTGTACAGGGATGTGATGCTGGAGAACTACAGGAACCTGAATTCATTGCGTAAAGGTGGCTTCTGCATATTTACCTAATCTGCTCATTAGTAGTCTCTTCACCTACTGTTAACAACTATAGGACTGCTGAAGTGGTCAAGTGCATTTGGGTTTAGATCAGGTTTTCTAATTTCCTTTGGGCACAATATCAAATTTTCCTGCTGTATCTGGTTAAAAGTTCTTTCTGATATAGAGCCAGAAACCCACAGGTCCATGGGGTTCTTTTGGCCTTATCTTTCAGCAGCTCTTAGACCATGGGGTTGGGATGGGATTCTTTTCCCACGTTACCACATTTTGTTTTTTTATTCATGAACAGGGCATCTACTTTCCAAACCAGTTGAGATTTCCAAGTTGGACAGTAAGAAAAAACCACAGATAATGGAGGGAGAAATCCCAAGAAGGACTGTTTTTGGTAAGAACAAGACAGATATGAGGCAGCATAAGAGATTTTTTTTTGTTGAACACACAGACAATGTGTAACCAGACCAGTTAATGATGACCTTTCAGATGTTAGCTGGAGTGGTGTCTGGCATATGGTAAGCGCTGTATAAACAAACATTAGCCAACCTAACATTGAATGATGTTCTTCCTTTTAAAGGAAACAAAAACTCTGCTTTATACTCGAATGACTTCTGATAATCTTACTTTTTTTTTTCTTTTACTATGGAACTTCTTAACTTGTGCCTAAACCTCTACCCTCATCATAATCTCTTTATTTTCATTAACATTTGTTTGTGAGATTATAAAATTATTGTGTATTTAATATGAATTTTAGTATATATAGAAAGTATAAAGAAGAATATAAGTCACCCATCACCTCACTACTCAGAGCTAGGCAGTATTAACATTTTGGTTTTTTTCCTTAAGCCATATTTTTGTTTGTTTGTAATACAGTGGTTTGTGAAGTTTTTTGTTTGTTTGTTTTTGTTTTTTTACCCCACAATTGGAATCATCAGGAACATATGGTTTTACATTCTGTTCTTTTTACCTAATATGCTATCATGAGCAATTACATATTTCACTAAATAGAATGTGAAAATGTTTCTAATTCACACATAACATTCCATCATATACTACATGTGCTATAATATATTTAATCTTTCCCTTCCCTCACTGTTGGACACTTAGTTTGTTGCCAATTTTTCAGGCATGTATGGTTTCTTCCATAAAATACCTTACTAGACGAGGAACTTCAGGATCAAAGGGTATAAATATATTTAACTTTCTTGATACATTATGCTAAACTGTCTACAGAATGGTTATACCAGTTCATACTCTCACTTATAGTGAATGAGTGCCCCACTTCACTCTACCCTGGCAAACACTGGGTATTGTTTACCTAAAATCTTTATTAATTTGAAAGGCAAATTATTCTATTTGAAGGTATACTCTCCCTCACGTTATCCTTTGGGTTCCATTTCTACCTTCTTTCCCTTATATTTTCACCATTTCTGCCTCATCCTTCCATCAGCTTTTTAACATTTTGAAGTCATTACTGAGTTTTAAAGTTTTCTCTCAATCCCACACCCTCTTCTAACTACCATTCTATTGCTAACCTCTTCTTTACAGCCAAACTTCTAAGGACTTTTTATACTTGGTTTGCTCATTTCTTTACCTCCTATACCTCAACCCATTCCAGTTTAGCTCTTACCCTCTTACCCCCAAACATTCATCTGAAACACTTCTTGCTAAGGTATTTGAATGACTATTGTAGCTAACTCCAGTGGATACTTTGTACCTTATCTCACCTGACTTCTTGACAGCAAGTGACACTGTTAACTATTCCTCCATTCTCAAACACTCCTAGCTTCCTGTAATGCTTGTGATTTTCCTTTTTCTTTTCTGGCCATTTCACTTTTGTCAGTTGCAGACTTCTCTTCCTCTAGCTATCCAGTAAACATCAGAGTCCTCAACATTTGATCTCATTTTGTCTGCTCTTCTTACTCCGTATTTTCCTTTCTAGGTTACCTCATCCACAGCTACAGCTTCAATTGCTACACATACATAGATGACTTACAAATTAAGATCCGCAGTTCAGGCTTCTTCTCTGAGCTGAAGATTTATACGTGCCATGACATTTCTTTTGGATGCCTTAAATGATTTAAAAGTGATCTTGTGATTTTTCTTTTCCAGTCTTCTTCCATTATTCCTCTTCTGAGTAAATGGCACTGCCATCTATCCAGTAATGCAAGATGTAGTTTAAGTATTTTCCTTGAAAATCTTCTTCTCTCCTCTCCTTTCTCTCTCTTTTCTCCCTCACCTCTCTAATCTTCCTACTTTTTGTTTCTGCTTTAACCTAAATATCTCTTGAATGTCTCGACTTCTCTCCATCTACAGTAATGCTACCCTAGTCCATGTACCATCATCTCTCACCTGAACTATTGCTGTAACTTCTTAATTTATCTTAATAGTATATCTTGGCACATCTTTGTCTTTTTTTTTCCTATACCAATGTGTGAGGCACACTGCAATCAGAGAGATTAAACTTTGTGACCTACTTGCTTAAAACACTAGACTGATTTCAGTTTTGCTTATGTCACGACATACTAGTCCCTGCCTACTTCTCCAGCTTCATCTCACACCACATCTTCCCTTCACCCTTTGCCCTTGAGCCACACTGATCTACTTTCAGTCAGTCAATATCAAATATGTATTCAGCATCTATTGTATCCTGAACACTGTGATAAGTGTTGGGGATACAGCAGAGAAAAAAGTTCCATAAGGGACACATTCCAGTTGTCCCTTGAATGTGGCTTGTTCCCTCCCACAAAAGTACCTCCTTATATGCCATTTCTTTATATAGAATGCTGTTTCTCATATCTTTTACCTGTTGTTGTTATTGTTGTTAGGTGCCATCCAGTTGGCTCCAACTCATGCAACCTTATGTACCACAAAACGAAACACTGCCCGGTCCTGTGCCATACTCAACAATCGTTGTTATGCTTGAGCCCATTGTTGCAGCCATTGTGTCAGTCCATCTCGTTGAAGGTCTTCCTCTTTTCCACTGACCCTCTACTTTACCAAGCATGATATCCTTCTTCAGGGGCTGATCCCCCTGACAACATGTCTGAAGTATGTAAGATGTAGTCTCACAGTCCTTGCTTCTAAGGAGCATTCTGGTTGTACTTCTTCCAAGACAGATTTGTTCATTCTTTTGGCAGTCCATGGTATATTCAATATTCTTCACCAA